GCCGCCCGGCCACCCGAGGATGCCGCCGCCCGGCGACGAGGATCGCGCGCGCCGTCGCCGCCGCCACCGCCGGAGGGACCTTCTGCTGAGCCAGCTCTGCTTCCTGGCCTCGGTGGCGCTGCTGCTCTGGTCGCTGTCGAGCCTGCGGGAGCAGAAGGGTGAGTGCTCGCCGCCTGCCCAAAGTGGGCGCTGCGGCTCCGGAGGCTCGGGCTCCCGGGCTCGGTACCGGGCGGCTGCGCTCGGCCGGGAGTGTGCAGCCCCTGCCCCCGCCACGGAGGACCCGCACGAGGACACACTTGTCCCTCGCAGGGCTCGGGAGGGAAGGGCCCTGGACGCCAGGACCTATGGCAGTGGAGGAGTGGCCGGCCGCCCTGGGCACCCTGGAGACCTTCACCTGTGCCTCTTGCCTCTGCCCCTTTCCCACAAGCCTGAGGACTGGTGGAGGGGGCGGTGACAGTCTGTCTCACCCAAAGCAAGACTCCCCAGGGCCAGTAATAAAGTTGTCCTGGTAGGAATTGGTACCTGTGCAGGTACTCCTGACTTGTTGAGGGCTTGCAAGGCAGGCTGACCCGCTCATACCAGGCTCTCCACACTCTCTCCTTGAACAGGCGGGTGGGCAACGGTTTGCGTTTCCAGACAGGTGCTGGCAACTTCGGAGAGGAAAAAGTGATAGTTACCAGTTAGGGCTTAGGGATGGACTTGTTCTCTTAAATGGCCATCCCTGGGAACACATGGATTCTCTTCCCAAGGTCCCCTTTTGAGGACTTGCTGGCTTTCCTGGGGCTGTGCTCACACGAATGGGTAAACACAAACGCGAGCGCGTGTACACACACACACACACACACACACACACACACACACGTACACAACTTTGGTCTTATCTTTGCCCTTGCACACACACACACACACACACACACACACACACACACATACACACGTACACAACTTTGGTCTTATCTTTGCCCTTAGCCTTTCTGGAACTAAAATAGATCTTGTGGAGAAATGTGCTGGGAACAGTTGTCCATTGAAAACAATTTGAACTCTGGGGTGCAGCTGTCAAAAAAAAAAAAAACAGGAGAAGGAAAGACTTAGAAGAATAACTGCTATAAAATGGTTTTTATATTCTGGTCTTTCAAGTGCAGCGTTTGTGGGGAAACAGCTATATAAATGGTTGTGGGGAAAGCAGTTACAAATACCTGCTGTGGTGTTAAGACAGGCATATTTCTGACATGGAACTGTGAAGCACAGAATAAAGGCATTTTGGTAGTGGTGGTGACATTTTTAAAGATGCCATCAATCAAGAAAGGGATTTCCCTCATGTTGGCTGGTGTGGTGCTTCATGTTGAAACTGGACAGTCGTTGAGGTCCTCGAAGAGCTCTAACCATTTCATCTTATATGGTAATAGGAGACAGGCGCTTCTGGTCTTGACGCTATTGGACTTCATCACTCTCCCACTGCCTCTGAATCTCAGATCTTCTGGCCCTGGGTGCTGACATCATGGAGGAGGCTATGCCATTTGAGGGAAACAGGATTTCTCTTTTTTGAGTCAGACCTGCCAAGCATTGTCTACTGACTGAGTGTCATTGAGAGGGTTTGAAGTTTCTCTGAGTGAAAGCCAGATGGTAGTTTATGTCCCCTTGGGCTAGAGCCATTCCAAGTTAATAACTTGGTGGCCATTTTCCTGCAGGTTGGAGCCCTGTGAGTGACAAGATTCCCACCATTTTCTCAGATATGAAAGAGAATTTTCTGGATGGTGAATGACCCACACAGTTAAGTTGATCAATTGCAGGGGCTTCACTCTCTGCACTAGTGGATGCTGGGATACCTGGGGTGATGGGGACTGAGACACTGTAAACTTGGAACCTGATTTTGAAATGGTTTGCCTGACAGTGACATTTCTGTTCAGGTGCTACTGACTCAGACTTCATTCCATAGCACACCTCCATCTCTACACTTTGGCCTTTCCCTTAGTCCCTCCCACCTCTCTCTTTAGTCCCTCTGTCAGTGTCCAGTTTAGGGATCCCTGACCTCCAGCCTCTGAAAGATTTAATTGGGAAAATCCAATAGTTCTGAGAACAGTGGTAGCCAGACTCTTTATTCCCCCTGCTCTCTTGCCATCACCCAAATGATGCTTTAGTTCTAATTCTGTGTCTAATCACCTTTTCTTCCATTACATATTGATGTTTTCAATAGATGAGGCACAGCCACGTTTTGCAGTAAGGCACGGTAGCTTTCTTTCAAGATAATTTTAAACAGGTTAATTAATGCATGTGAATCTTGCAAATGATACTTCTGCTTAGGAAATTGCCATTCAACATTATAAATATTTGAGTAGTGACTCTTGCCCTGAAAACCTGGAGGCCGCTCTACATAATAGCACTTTCAGAGTGGAAAAAAGTTTTTAAAGATATTGCTACTTAAAAAGGTTGGGTGACTGGGTAAAAACACATTGTAGTTGAGGAGGGAAAAACCAACCTGCGGTGACCTGGCTCTTTGTTCCCACCTGTGTTCCTTGGATTTGAGTGCAGCATTATGATATTTGTATGATTATGTGGGGTACCTTCATAATGAACAAGATAGTATTTAATTCACCTTAAAAGGCACACAGTAATTATTAAAGACAACTTCTCAGAGGCCTTTTGTGATTTTTTTTTCTTTTTCTTTCTTATGAAAAGGAGAGTTCTCCCAATTCAAATAGAGGTGTGTGACAGTTATGTTATATAATGTTGTGTAACATTCCTAATCGTGGAATTTGGGGTCTCTTTCTTGACTTCTAACTAAACCCAGGTTTGATTACATACTGAAAAGTTTTGGTTATATTTTGCACTGTGTATTCAGTATTTGGCTTCAGGCAGTATAGAAAGAAATCTATACTGATTTTTTTTTCTGGGAAGTAGCAACATGAGGGTTGTTTAATTTAGGTCAGGAAGGTTAGTGCCAGAATGAAGAGAAATATTAATTCTAACTACAACAAAAGCAATAATAATAACTACAGTGTGGGCATTATAAGAGCCAGGCACTGTGCCAAGCACACCTTATGTGCATTTATTTCATCTGCAAACACTCTTTTCAGACCTGTGAGCCTTCAGCAGTGGAGACACAAGCCCCAGGTGCCCTATTTAAGCTGTTGCTGATGAAGATCTCATTTTTGATCTCTGTTTTCAAAGCCAATTTAAATAAGGTGTTAGATTTGTTAATGAGGGTTTTCATTTATTTTTGCAATGAGAATGGATTACTTTTGTATATTTTGAGTGGTTTAGAAGTGTTTCATTTTTCTTTGATATAAATTGCATGGCCATCTTTCTCCAGAAGTAGTGTGAATAAAGCTCAGGGGTTCTAACTCGGGAGCAATTATAGACATCTTCTCTAGAAAGTTCTCAGGGGGATAACTAAGAAATAATACACATTTACATACACACTTATGCAGTTGTGCAGATGTGTGTGGGTATGTATATGTGGAAAAATATTCGTGACTATATATGAATATATATGCATATATGTTTTTCTTCATCAATTTTTATTGTGGCATAGCAAATCTCCTAAAAACTTGATATAAAACATCTATTTAACTTTTTTGCTCATGGATCCTTTGACTTAGGAATTTGGATGGGCACATTGGGGATGACTTTTCTCTGCTTCAATGTGTCAGGAGACTTGACTAGAAAGGTTGCAAGGCTGAGCAACTTGATAATTGGACCTGGAATCATCTGAGACAACATGACTCCCATGTCTAGGGCTGGTGTGGCCGTTGACTCAGACCTATATGTGGCCTTTCCATGGGGTTCTGTTTAAACTTCCTCAGAGCATGACAGCTGGATTCCAGGAGTGAATCCCCCAAGAACAAGGTGGAAGTGCAAGGCAATTCTATGTTCTAGCTTCAGAAACCACATGCTGCTACTGCCACTATTTTCTCCTGGTCAAGGCAGGGACAAATGTCGGTCCAGGTTGAAAGAGTGAGGACATAATCACCACTCACCCAGTTTGATGGGAGACAGGGTGGTTGAAGCCTTTGGAAAATCTGAAACTCTGAAGGGCTCATAACTTAGGAGTGAGTGTGGACATTTACAAGATGGCCAGTGGTGAAAAAAGCATATATACATACACACATGCAGATGCCTATATGTGCACCCATGTGCACATACACTGTGTATGCGTGCATATGCATGGTATCTTTGAAATGTCATTCAGTCCTGAATGTATTGCTGCTAATTTTATTTGGCATAGAGAAAGGGGGTTATCTTTAAAGAAAGAACTACAGTAGAGATTTAGACTGCAAATCCGAGAGTTCATCTTTGCTGTTGTGGCCTCCTATCCCTCAGAAGGCTTAGAGTGGGACCTGTAGAATCCCCAGCTTCATGTCCCCTACTTTGGACTTCCCTTTCCTGATTTCACCACTCAGACTGTTTGTTACTTTATAAGAGAGTGACCTTTCTGGCTTCGGATTTCTCACATGTCCTGGTCCCACTGTCAGGGCTGCTATGTCCACTATCAGAGCTCGCTAATCCTGCACCTCTGGGCCATGATCTTTTGGACTATGTAAGATTCCCCACTGTATTCTCTGAAAACACCATGTTTTCTGACCACGATATCTATCAAAGTTGCCAGCTATGTATTTGTTTATCAGAGTTTGAGTAACATTCCTCCTCCTAGATTCTGAGTTCCAGGAGGTCAGAGACCCTGTGAAATATTTTCATATGTCATGTTTGTCGCCCAGCCCATGATAGGAGTTCAAAATATGTTTTTATAGAAGTACACGTAAAGATGTTTATTATATGAAAACGCCCTTTTGATTTCTGAACTTCAGTGCCTGTGATAAGAGCTGTCATGTTTTAGGTGTTCACTAAGCGGCATGTACATTTTTTTCATAATTTCTAGTCTTGTAAATTTTATTCATTTTTTTTCTTTGAGAGAGAGAGGCTTAGCTGAGAAAAGGGCAGGCTGTGTCCAGAATCAGTTGGTTAGTGGTAGGATTTGAACCTGGATATACCTTTGTCCGTATATACATACTGCTGCATTTTCTAGCCTTGGCTGAGGAGGATGTGAACACAAGACAGGGAATCACCCTGCCTTTTTCAGTCAACCAAGGAGTAAGGAGTAACAGAAGGTTGGTTTCATAGAAGCAGCATTTTAGAAACACATTGCTTTTCAACCTTTTCT